GAAAAAAACGCCTGATTAAATTGCTAGTATTATTGTTAGGTCAAGTCGATGTAGTATGTATAACTACACAAGTTTGTATTTTTTTTTTTTTTTTTCAAAATGACGGTGATGGTTTTAGACATTTTTGATTGGACTTCTCAGCCTCCAGAAACAAAAATTCGATCCTCAAATCAAAATTCGTGATAAAATACCAGGTTCCTTCCATTAAGCCTTTGTGAAGGTGATGTCCTAAAGTGGTGAGCTTTTGTCCGGTGATTGTCCGGAGGATTCGGCACATTAACGCTTATCGCGACGATTCGTTTTGCGTGCTTCGGCCACCAAAGCGATTGCTGTCGCAGTGAACCGTATGTTAAACAACAAGTAGGTAATTTTAATAATTAATACAATACTTTCTAGGATTGGCTTCCGTCGCTTCCGCTCTGCCTTTTCTGGTCACGTGGCATGCAGCAATCGTACCTATACGCGCCCAAGTAGCATACCGAGGCCGCGGTCAGATTTTAACGGGTTGTAACTACGTCACAGAGCCGCTGCTACAGTGCGACCGAGATTTATTCATATGCGCACATTACAAAGTGCACATATGACCACAGGATCAGAAGGTCAGCCCCTTGCTCGGTCTTCCCAAATTACATTATCCTAGAGTCGCGAGTGAACATATTCACGTAAAACCCGACTTTTATCAATTTGAACGACCCGTGTACGATTCACTATCGGACCCTTGTAAATTCTGAGAGCTGCATTTTTCATCCTCTTTTTTTTTTTTTTTTTTTTTGGAAAGAGGGTCTTATTGTTGACCCCCACTGTCCCCGGCTATCTACACACCCTACCCTAATCAACTCTTTTCGACAGTTTGACGAACGGGCACTTTCGCCCATTCTCCATTCTGCGAATTGGCCTAGGGCGAATTGCCCTATTCAACGAATTGTCCTTCTTGCAGTTGTCCAAGGACCAATGAAATTTCGACAAATTGGCCGGATTCGCGGTGCAATACGCTTCCCCTACAATAGAAAGCCACGTGGAACGATCTATTGTTATATTCACACAGGATGCAGGCTAGTATATAGGTACAACCGGGCGGGAGGTGAACCTTCTGCTGCACGCTAAGATTGATGCGCTCGACTCCTTTATCAGCAGTCAAGCTCCCACGTACCAAGGCGTCATCAACTACCTCGACAGGATCGCGAGCTTCGGAGTGTTTCTAGAAGCCAGTTAAATTACATATATAGGCTTCTGAAAACTGCTATGCATGTCACATGCAAAAAAAAAAAAAAAAAAGAATCGTACTGCGTGATATTAGTATTATCGCTCTAGTCTGTGACGTATATACAAACCTACTGGCAGGGAATCCATGCGTAGTTAAACTACTGACAACTGCAGTGTACAGTGAGTAGTGGTCTCTTCCAAGGATAAACGAACAAAAATAAAGATTTGTCAAATTCATGAAAGTGTTCTGCGTTTACGCATGAATTGTCGGGTCACCCCCAACCACCCCCGTGCATCTATAGGCGCGTTCGATGTAGATTTTATTTTATTTTTTATGAATATATCTATATTGTTTTTATTAGTGGGAAATTACGCTTGCGCAAACTGGTGATGCCTCGCACGAACAGCTCCCAAAGCTCCTTTCAAAATTTTAAATATTGACTCTGCGCATAATCAGTGGCGCTGGCGGGCGGTCATGTGTTTACAATACGGGTCTCCGTACGTAGCTTATCTACAGATCGAAACGGACAGGGATGAGGTCTGAAGAAGGAATTTGCGGGTCGATGCACTAGTACAACCGGACACTGCATCCCTATTTTATATTTCAAATTGGCTGACCTATGTCTTACTTGACGGTGACAGCGCAGGGAAAGTCAAGTATGGTTCACCAACTCGCCCAAGTATCCATCCTATCAAGTGACCTATGTCATTGAAACATTTGAACTATCACTATCAAAGGAGCATTTGGCGTCGAACAATCCACGCCTTTAACCAATTGGTACATAGCTGCGCATTGGAACTCAGGTAAATAACCATCATTGCCTTCCTATAGACGAAATTAGAATATTTGTTTCTGATCGATGTTTTTCTGTCGGCCTGTCAACGTCGGCTTCAGTGGCCCGACATTTTAGTTCGACAAAAATACGGCAATGCCTGCAGGAACACGGATTAAATATACACAAAACTCTGTATATTTAGCAAGGCAAATTATTCTAGCACGTGACAGGCGAGACGGAATATCCAACGTGCCTGAATGTCCAACAAGACGAAAGATCCAACCGAGACGGAATGTCCAACGAGCCTGAACGTCCAACGAGACGGAAGCTCCAGCCGAGAAGGAATTTCCAACACGCCTGAATGTCCAACGTGCCTGAATATCCATTATTGAGTCTTCGGTCTCGTTGGACATTCAGGCTCGTTGGACATTCCGTCTCGTAATCTGATATATGTAGTAATCGTTTGTTTGTGTACAAATGAGCGAAGTATGCACAGCGAGGCGATGCTCTGATCACTGCAACGTTGTGTGTGTTACCTGTCGGAAGGCGCGTTTGTGTTTTACCGCTACCCTTGTCAGCTGGCGAAACTTCAACACACCCACTTTCGTCAGCTTGCATTTACAGTTTCTTTCGTAATTAATCCAGGTTAAGGAAATTGGGTAGAAATGGCGGAGCATAAACCTAAAGATAATACATTTTTTTCAAATTAGATAAGCGGTTCAGATGTCCACTGTTTTGGGGTAGTTTCCCTGCCGCACGACTCACGCGAAGACAAACCAACGGTTTGCGAGAAACAAAAGAAAAAAGGAAAGACGTTTGCAAATCTCTGTAATGCGAAAGTAGAGTGCAGCTCTTGACGAGGAGGGGAGGGTACGGAGGGAAGGGTCCCTTTTTTTCCTCCGTACCCTCTTCTCCTCCTCCTCCCCTCCTTCTATCCTCCTCCAGCTCCTCCCCTCCCCCTCCTTCATACTCTCCCTTCCTCCCACAGGTTCCCCGCTAAATTTAACTGGAAAATTGACACCACGTGACCTCAACACCAATTCAATTTCCCCGCTGTATTTAGCGGGGAAAAGGACGTCACATGACTTCATGTCACATCACCCATAAAAAATTCAGTTTCTCCGCTAGATTTCGCGGGAAATTTGACGTCACGTGATCTCAACACCAATTCAATTTCCCCGCTGTATTTAGCGGGGAAACTGAACTGGTGTGTAGGACAGTGACGTCCCATAATGCAAGACTGGGCATTCAGTTTCCCGCTAAATTTAGCGGTAAAACTGTCGTCACATTACCTCAACACCAATTCAGTTTCCCCGCTAAATTTAAAGTGGAAACTGTGACGTCCCATAATGCAACGCGCGCAGTTACGCCGACGGCGACGGCGACTCCGACGCCGCTCAACACGGAAATGGGCACAATATCTGCTCTCTAATACACAAAGAAAGCGACCTGTAAGCGTGATGACCTGTGAGTGTGATGAGCATGATGACCTGTGAGTATTAGGACCATGAGGAGCTGTGAGTGTGAGGACCGTGAGGACCTGTGAGTGTGAGGACCGTGATGACCTGAGAGTGTGAGGACCGGTCTGTGAGCGTGAGGACCGTGATGACCTGTGAGTGTGATGAGCATGATGACCTATGAGTGTGAGGACCGTGAGGAGCTGTGAGCGTGAGGACCGTGATGACCTGTGAGTGTGAGGACCTTTGAGTGTGATGAGCATGATGACCTATGAGTGTGAGGACCGTGAGGAGCTGTGAGTGTGACGGCCGTGATGACCTGAGAGTGTGAGGACCTCTCTGTGAGCGTGAGGACCGTGAGGACCTGTGAGTGTGAGGACGTGATTCGAGATGACCTGTGAGTGTGAGGATGTGATTCAAGATGACCTGTGAGTGTCACGACGTGTGAGTGTGATGAGCGTGACGACCTATGAGTCTGATGATTCATGACGACCTGTGAGCGTGATGACCGTGATGACGACAACGAGTGAGTTTTGGTTTTGTGTCGAGCCGTGCGAGAGAGTCCGGGTGATGACCCTATTTTTATTAAATCGTGATCGTGAGTGGGCGTTAGTTCTGAATGAGGAAAAAGAGGTGATCGTGAGTTTGATTGAGGACAGCTTAAAATGCCGACCTATGCTTAAGAGGCACCACCACAAGAATTGCCTGAGTTCCCTGTCACGCGGGCATACCCGGCAACGAACAGGTACAGCGCCTGGCCGTCGCGTCTCTTATCCTTCTCAGCGGTTTGTACGAAATACCTGCAGCACAACATGACCACGGTTACGGTCACGCTCGCGATCGGGTACAGGCCTACTGGGAACCACAAAAATATGATCCAGGCAAGGTTGGGGCCAAGATCAGAGAAGACTACCTTGCAAAGCTCGAGGTGGAGCTCCCCGAAAACCCAGACCCACTCCCTTGGACGTGTTTTGGAGACGGGCGAGAGTTCTCCTGGCTCGAGTGAGGACGAACACCGCACTAATACCAGCGCGCATCGCATCTTGGAGCCAAGGAAAAAGATCCGGAACTTGCTCCAAGTGCAACATGAACATGTAGGCCGACATTTTTCACTTGATGTAGGAGTGTCCCAAGTTCAAAGAAATAAGGGCCAATTTCGACGAACAGACATCGCACCTATGGAGGAGTGGACAGATCCACCTAGCTGGACGTATTCATTTTAGATTTGGTAACCTCTCCTTAATGCCAGCGTTCAGATCTTGATATCAGCGGCGCATTCCCTCGTACTTCATTCTCTTTTTTTTTTTGGGGGGGGGGGGGGGGGGGGGCTTTAAACATTTCCTGACTGACTGACTGACTGACTGGTGTGAGCGTTTGGCCGCAAATTCAGACCTGTGAAGACAGCGACACTGTTGAACCAATTCTCTGAAGACAGCGTCTTTACTCAGCCAAACTCAGCGCATTGCACAAGACGGAACCACGTTGACCATCACATAGAAGATTCCCCCCCCCCCCCCCCAAACCTGGGACCAACATCATGTTTAATTTAAAAAAGCACAAAAGAACAACTACCGCCAATTTTATTGCGCGCCTTTCGCACGACCATGCAAGCAAGGCAAACACCAAATCCCGAGAATATGCATTAAGAATGGTACACAGCAAACAAAAAAAGAAAAGGTGGGGACACACTAATCACACGTTATTTCCACCATCTGCATCTTTGGGGGGCTCTTTGTAGTCGGGAAAGAAGGCCCTCTCGGCCATTTTGAGCATAGCTTTCTGCCTCGCATAGACCTGCTGGACGTTCCGCCGGGTCTCTTCCACTTCGTTCGCCAAGGACAGCCGAAACTTCTTTGCTTCGTCCTCGACTTTGCGGATTTCGGCATCCAAGCCGGCCACCTGAGCAAAGGGAGAGGTTTGAAACCCTTTATCTCAAACAAAAGCAAACCAAAGCGAAATTCTCCCACTCATTTTACATTGGCACAAGGAGGAGCAAATGCCACAGTCGGTGGTAGGTTAAGAATAGAGTAGAAGCTCTGCTTCAAGCATGCGCTCGTTGACGTCTGCCGGGCTTTGGCCGCATGTGCGACCAAGTGTTAATGAAGGAAGAGAACTCGCACTGGGGGACACAGCATCTACTCAATTCTTAGCCTGTCGCCGACTCTAGAACAGCAGCCCGTCGGCAGTGCCTGACCTCAGAATCCTTGGAGCAGACTAGCTCTTGGCACTGGAGTCGAAGCACCTTGAGGCGCTGCACAGCTTGGTCTAACTCCTCCGTTTTGAGGCCGAGCTTGCACTCCGTGGCTTGCAGCTTGATCTCCGCCTGGCTCTTCAGCTGACTCTTGTTTTCGGCCACTGCCTCCTGTTCCTTCAGCAGGCGGTGGTAGTTGTCCTCCGCAGTCTTCCTGCATTCAAAAGCAAAGGCACTGCGAAAGTCAGATCTAATTTGCCTCTCACCAGTGTTGGAAAGTAGTTCAAGTACATAGTAGCGAAAGTGCTACTTCAAGTAGATTTAGAAAACTTGAACTTTACTTAAAGTACTGTCGTGAGCAAAAATTTGGATAACACCGAAGCGCCGACCGAATTGCAACGCCGCGCTCTCTGACGGCGCTCCACCTGCTGCCAAGATGTCCTGCAGTGCGTACACGCGTCCTTTCTTATCTGCGGGCCTGCTCGTTTGCTCGCTTGAACGCGACACGCTGCGGTCTGATTAAAACGGTGATAGACGCCGCCCCAGTAGAAAGGATTCAACAATCTTGGCTCATCGCTCTGAACAGCGGCCGAGTGACCGAGCTCGCGTCGACTCGGCACATTAAAACAATCGTTTCTTTCGGGCGTTATTAAAACCCTTTAAATTTCTGAATTCACCAGCCAGTTACGTTACGCAACCGCAGCCTCTATGGATCGTGAGACTTGTTTTCTTTTTGCACGTGGGTCAACCGACTCGTGCTCTGTTCGTTCAGACTTGCAGCGGGGTTGTCGCGAGTGCCGAAAGACATCGCACGACGAATGCCGGCAGCGGCTGAGTAACGATAGGTAACGAAGCTGGCTGGTGAGATCGGTCTCTTGCAGATGGGAAGCGTTCAAAATAACACAAAAAAGCAAAACTATTTTTTAAATCGTGGCGCTGAATCGCGCGAGCAAGTCGCGTGAGTTGCCCGTGCCGCAGAGCACTCGAACTCGGCCGCTCGGCGGCTGTCCAGAGCAATAGGCTGCGTCCCTATTGAAAATCGCTCTGATGGGACTTCAGGATTTTTTTAAAGGGTGTGAAGGGGACTTCAGGAATTTCTGAGATCTTTGACGGGGGCACCGATATTTCCTGGTGGGTTCACTGGCCCCGTCAGAGGCTCTCCTGAAATGTCTAAAGTGCCCTTTACAATGCCTTGAAACGTCTGAAAGCCTGTCAAGAACTTTCCTAATGGGGTCGGGAAAACCTTCAGGCTTCTTGAGATGTCTGTGGAGAACGGCCTAGGTGGAAAAAACACATTTCGCAGAATTAATGAACATAGCTGCTTATTGTACGCTACGGGGGAAAAAATAGGTATTTGGAAAATGCCGATCGTGTGTGTGTACGGTCAGAGGTTTATTACTGCTCTTCTATCAAATACGAGTGGGCTCCTGGACCCGCCTGTCACTGCCTGAGTGTTCGGTCGCCAAAGAGGCCACTGAGGGCGACTGCCCCTTGTGGAGAATTGACGAGCCGCGGGCCGAGTGGTGTTGGCCGAGCGGCGTTTTGAGGCGAACGCAATCCTGTCCGCTCGAGGCAAAATCCGTGCAGTCATGTATATATATATATAAAAAAAAACAAAAAAAAACAAGCCGAGAGCAGTGCGCGTTTTCCAGAAACAGGGACGCACGCGGGAGCTACTCGTTCCGGGAACCGGTCGCCTCCACGGGGGACTGTCCCCAAAAAGCAATCGCCTCTCTCCGCCCGGCGATGGGGAGAGGGTGCAGGGCTGCCAGGCCAGCGGTGGGGGGGAGGAGGGTGGTGTGTGCAAGCGGGGGAGGCCATAGCCATTTTCTCTCTGCTCGTGTGCGGTTCCGGTTATCCCACGAGCCGGGATGTTTGGAGCGCACCAATTTCCTCCAGGAAGGTGAGCATGCATGGTTTTGAGGGCTCGCCCCTTGGTCTGTTTTGATCACGACCAGTTTTGATCCGTGCAGTTTCTTTCTTGGTACCCCAGGTGAACCATAGTTCGGCGCAGGCCGCCTTCAGCACCGCTCGAGCGCCATTGTGTTCAGCGCATTCAAGGAGATGGTGGCCGGTGTCGGCTTACTCGCTGCAAAGCCTGGCAGTCGGGGTCAGTGTCCCACCGCATCTTGTGCCTGCGCACCGGGATTATGGCACTGTGGGTGTTGAGACGGTGGATGACGGCCGCTGTACGGACTTGTTTGTTGCGCCTCTTCGTCCGTCCGACTTCAGACCAGCGAGCAAAAAATACGCCCAAGACGCCGGCGCGATGTCATCATGGACGATGCGTGACTGTGCTCGGGATTTCTCAACGGCGGCGGGTGCTGCTTACGAGTTCGTGGTTTTCGCTAGGCGTGCTTACTGAGACTGTGTATGTGTCCGTGAGGTGCACCTGCTCGGTTTTATTAGCTGAACTACCGTACATCAGGAATATACCCAGCTGCATTGTGAGTACTTTGAAAGGTATTTTTCTTTGTGATAAGGATGCCAGTTGTCCCTGTTTGATGTGATCTCTTTCGTCTATAGCTCCTTGCGCCGGGTTTGAACAAGCGTTGCTTTTTATCACCATTTTGAGTTCTCATATGCATGTAAAACTAAATGTCGGCAATAAAGTTTGAATGTTTTGACCTGAATTTTTGTCTATGGTTCACAGTCATTTGGGCGTCTAAAGGGTTGATGGGCTAAAGGGTCCGACGGGTTGAATGGCTGTGGGGCTAAAGGGTTTTTCTATGGGGTATCCTTGAAGGGTTTTTCTGCAGGGTACTTTTGAAGGGTTTTGAAGGCCTGTGAGGTCCCATAATCCTTCAAGGCTGACGGGCCCTTTAGAAATATTTTCAAAAGGGGTATTTTCGGCACCGATTTGAAATCCATGGGGCGTGGCCAATGGCCTCACGGGCGTCAAAATAATGGCACCTGATAGTTCGACATCTAGGACGTCAAAATAATATTAACTGTTATTTTGACGTAAACAACATAATTTATTTTGGATGCCGCGTAAGGCATTTTGAAATGTCGGTCGCTCGGAGTGTGTATGGTCGGGTGCTCGGCGGTTTCCGCGCTGGTGTGTGTTGTCGACGTGCCACCTGTGCTCGTCGCGTTCTCAGGAACATCAAGATAAGCGTCTTCCAGCTTCAAATTTCGCCCTGTGCCGTCCGTCACTCCTGTTGCAAAATGAAGATTGCGTGTACCGGAGGCGACAGAACCCAGCCTTAGTAATTTTCTACGCATTTTTCTGGAGCTGTACCTGTGTGTAATACGACGGATTATCATTCTTGCATAGAATAGCTGCGAAGGCCGTGCAAGCGGCGAGCGAGTAGCCTTGACTGCCATGACTGGAGCAGCCGCTGCAGGAGCGCTCGTGCCGCGTCATCCAAAGCATCTAGGTCGCGCTTTTAGCACACGCGGTTCGGTGAATTCAGCCGCAGACTTTCCTTTTATTGCTCAAGTGTCGCGCGTTGCCTCGCGTCTTTGCGTCTGGTGGTGCTCTCGTCGACCTGATGGCTTTTTTGTCATCTGCACACACTGCAGAGAGCAACTTCAGATGCGAGGCGGTCTAAAGAAAACCTTGGTACGGGAGAACCTAGACAGGCACCTGTTGTCGGTGCACTGCCACGAATGTGAGCAGCCTGACCATCATCACAAGCGGTGACTGGCAGAACCTACATGCAAGCAAAGGTATAACGCCGTGGCGACAAATGGCCGAAGAAACCAGCCTTAGACGCTGACCCCAAACAGCCAGTGGGCTGGGGTCGACGAGAGCACTGTGAGACGCAAAGACGCAAGGCAACGCACGACACTTGAGCACTAAAAAGAAAGTAGATTGCTGAATTCACTGAACCGCATGTGCTAAAAGCACGAGCTAGTTGCTTTGGATCACCTGGCACGAGCGCTCCTGCAGCGGGTGCTCCAGTCATGGCAGTCAAGGCTATAGAGCCACTCTATATATTCCGTGGCTCTTGTTAAGGCTACCCGCTCACCGCTTGCACGGCATTCGCAGCTATTCTATGTAAGGGTGATAATCCGTCGTATTGCACACAGGTACAGCTCCAGAAAAATGCGTACAAAATTACTGCGGCTGGGCTCTATCGCTTTCGGTACACGGAATCTTCATCTGTAACAGGAATGACGGACGGCACCGGGCAAACGAAATTTTGAAAACGCTTACCTTGATGCTCCTGGATGTGCGCGACGAGCACAGGCGGCACGTCGATAACACACACCAGCACGGACCAATACCACCTAGAACACAAGGCCTGCGCGTTTCCTCCTCTAAACGTCATCACTAGTAGATCCCCTCAGCGCCCCCTAGCTAGCCCGGATGAGAAATATCGTCTGCTACATCGTCTGCTCCATTGCCTGCTTCAGTGGTTTGTGTAACAGATAATGAAATAGATGCTCACGCCGAGTTTCTCTTGCAAATAGCATACGATGAAGTTAGACGTTCACGTGGAGCGTCAAATGCATGAGCGAAATTGCCTTACTGCTGCGCGAAGGGCTGAAAAGCCCTTCGTTGGACGCTTGACGCTGACACTGGACGCCAGGTAGCTGCTTCGAAGCGTTCTACCGCAGAACGAGCGCGCGCGCTAGAAATACGCGTCTCAAAGCCAGGAGCGCGTGCTAGCTCGCGCTCCTGGCCGAGGGAGCGTTCGCGTGCACGTCGCAAATGCACTGGAAGCTCGCTATCAGCTCGCGCTCAGCAGTCACGCACACAGCTGCGGCCGCAAGTGAATGCGACGTAGTTGCGACGCGGCCCCTACTCTCGTCAAGCTTCGGGGTGTTTGCCGCTTGGGGCGGGTCGGGGATCTACTAACGAAACGTCATGCGCAGGCCTTGTCTTCTAGGTGGTATTGCACGGACACTGCTGAGCAACCGACCGCACGCACGCCGGCCGACTGATGTTTCAAAATGCAATCGGCGGCATCCAAAATAAAACGTGTTTACGTCAAAATAACAGTAAATATAATTTTGACGCCCGTGACGTCATTGGCCACGCCCCTGGGCGCCAAATCGGCGCCCAAAATAACGCGCCTAGAGCGATGAGCAAAGATTGTGGAATACCGGCTGCCGAAGCGGCGTCTTTCGCCGTTTCAATCAGACCAGGGTCTCTAAACTCGTCGAACACAAAGTTGGGGCCGAAGTTGACGGAGCGCAGCGATTGGCCCAACACGACGATGACTTCGCGCCTTTTTCGGCGACGTCCAATCGGGGCG